AGTCTGCGCCTCCTGCGGACATCGCTTAGTTGGCTGCTGCTTGGTTTTTTTTTTTTTTCACTCTTTGGTGGCAGTCAGAGAACACAGGTGTCAGCAGGCACACGCGGCACAGGGGCGCTGGGCGCCTGGCCCTGCCCCTCTGCCCACATCACCTCCCAGTCTCCCTTCTGTTCCCCTTCTCCTCGCCCTCCACGCCCCACGCAGCCCCACGCTGATTGCAGTTCTCCGTCTACACTGTGCTTGGCCTGCGACTCAGGCTCCACGTCTCCCTCCGCCTGCCAAACTCTGTGCTCTAACCGGGCTTGCTCAGAATCCCACCTCGAGTCAGCTCAGATGCCTGCGTGGGTGTGCGTGGGACACCCTGTGCACACCGTACGTCTACATGCCGTCTGCCTATATACGCGCACAACACTCTGCATATACGTTCTCTCTGTATACCCATACGCTCTCAGACATACATTTTTTCGGCTTCATATCAGTGAAACATCTGCTTTTTGCCTGATGTGTGGCCTGGGGACACAGGACAGACACGGTCCCCTCGCCTCCTGGAGCTGGTGGCGCAGTGTCCCTCCCCTGGAGGCCTTCTCCCCAAGCCGAGAGAGCCCCCTCTGATCTCCTGCAGCCACCTGTGCCCTGCGTGCCTGCCCTTCATGGATTCCTGTGATGTGACCCGTGTCTAACTCTGTCTCCTGAGCTAGACCGGGAGCTTTTTGAGGAGCTGGCCACCTGTAACCTTGTGCTGCAACAGGGTGCCAGGGGCTTGAACGGGTTGGGCGGGGAGGGCGGGGAGGGGCCTCCTGTCCTCCCAGCCAGGGGGCTGCGTGTGCTGGCCCCTCGCCGCCTCCCTCAGGGTGCAGGCAGGCGCCCCTTTGGTCGGCTGGGAAGAGCTTTGCCTGGTGGGGAGGTAGAGAGGGTGGACGACAGGGGTGGAAGCTGCAGGCCAGAGCAGATGTTCCGAGGCAGCTGTACTTCGATGTGGAATTCTGGATGTTTCTGTTACATGTGGGAGTCTGCCACGGTGCTTACTTGTGTATGCGTTAACTTTTTAAAGGGGACACCGTAGCTGGGAACTAAGCACCTGACACTCAAAGAGTGTCCAGAAGGTTCCAGTGAAAAGCCAGCCCCCCACCCCTCTCCCCACCCATAGTGCCCCTGTTTGACTCTTGGACCCCGCTGTGTTGGGAAGGCCCAGGGACGGCTGCAGAAGCTGGTGGGGCACACCCTCCCTTATCTCTCCCACCCTGACACCCAGTTTACATGCCGGGCACAGCGGGCCGGGGGAACTCTGAGCAGGGGACGAGGTTGGACTGGCTGGACGGCTCTTGGGAGAACTGCACTCCAGCTGGGGTCTGTCGGGACTTCTGAAGTCCCCTCCCTGTCCTTAGACTGTGTGTTTTAAACGACTTGTCCCAGGCCCCACAGTAGGTGACTCTGCTCTCAGGGCTCCTTTTGCCTGAAGCTCCCGCACTCCAGGAGCCGTGCCGAGCGTGTTCCCTCCAGGGTCTCCGTAAATGCCCTCGCAGCCGAGAAGGTGGGGCTGCTGTGGTGCTGCCGTTTCACCGATGAGCAGACTGGGGCTCCGAGTCGTTAACACTAAGGGACTGAGGACGCTGTGTATCCAGTGGGGCGCAGAGCTGGGGTGCGCCCGCGCTGGCTCCGCTGGCTGCGTTCTGAACCCACTGCTGGTGGGACATTGTAGGGAGAGCCAGGCTCTCCTGGTCCCACCACACGCTCTGCGGCCTTCCTGCGTCCCTGGCCCTCTCAAGCCTAAGGAAGCAGGTGTTTGAGTAATGAGATTGCGTCACCTCCACCCTGACCAAGAGTGATCGCAGAGTGCAGGGAGGACCTGCCGCCAAGCAGAGACTCGCCCGCTTCTTGGCTTTCTCTTTCCCTGCAGAAAGACTCGGGGAACCCTGGGCTCTTGCAGGTGTGATGAAAGTCAAAGCACAGCCAGAAACCAGAGGGGCGCCGAGGAATGAGTGATTTCGGTGCACCGACTTTGGTGCCTTCCCAGTGTCGTTGGTCATTTATCCAGAGGTGCGTCGTCTCACTGTCCTTACTGGACAGGTGGGGAAGAGGCAGCTTTGATAGGAGAAGGGGTTGCTATGACCTTAGTCACCAAACGCCTGCACAAAACACGGCCGATCCCTTTTATTCTCAGATTCCGTATTTGTGAATTTGCCTCCTTGCTAAAATTTATGTATCACCCTGGAGTCACTACCCGCTGGAGTCACTACCCACTGGAGTCACTACCCGCTGGAGTCAATGCCCGCGGCTCTTTCTCAGTCACTAGCAGACGCGTAGAGAGAGTGGTGGCAGACCTGAGTCG